CTCGAACCTTCGACAACCTTACGCTGATCTTCGTAATTTGTATTGTTGCTTGTACAGACCGAATCACTTTCTGCTATCAATCAACATTTCTTACACCAAATAAGATATCGACAAACTATTTGTTGAAACTTTAATGGTGACAGAATATATTGTTTGTAATTCTCTAAGAAATTTCTTGGAACTTTAATAATTTTGGAATGACATTAAACTTCGGTACATATGGTATACTTTCCGTGTTGATTTATAGATTCATGTCATATAGAAACAAGGCGTGGGCATAAAAAACGAACGATTTATCGATATCTTTCCTCTATTTTGAAAATAGTGATTTGCAAAAGTTTACGTGATTCATTTTAAAGAATCGTATTTGTTCTAGACTTAATAAATGCATCCAGCACACTTACTAGTTAATTCCTCCGTGTATGACCGCTGTATTTGTGTCGTTTCTTGTTTGGTCAATGGTGATAAACCTCCTGTGCTTTCCTGCAGTTTTGCTTGTGCCTGTGAGCAGAGGTAAATTTGATGTATTCATATTGACAGAAAATTATGAATAGCTTGTTACAATATTATATATTAATATCAATATTACCTCTCCAAGCAAAAGGAATTTCTTCTGTAGAGTGTCAAGAGTACGTTCTAATTCTTTGCTACGGTCTGCAGCTTTTAAAGCAACTCTCAGTCGATGTCCTGCATCAAATAGAGATGCGTCTGTGGAACGAATTCGTTGCTCGTATTCAGTTACTTTCTTTTGTTCGTTCTTTAATTCAACTTCTATAGACTCAAGACGATCCTTTAATGTTTGATTCTCTCGTTCTTCTTCTACACACTGTATCATTATTGATTGAATCAGTTGTCCAATTTGTAATTCTTATCGTGATTAACGAAAATTGTTATTTACGTTACCTTCGTTTGCCAGTGATACAATGCCTCTTTGTATCGTTCCTCGGCCTTCAATGCTTCTCGCCTGTTCGATTCCAATTCAGCTTTCAAGCCTTCCACTTCCTTTTCCATCAATTTTAGTCGATCAGTCTACGCAACAAAAAATTTGCATCTAACAGCAGCCAAAATAAAAAAAAGAGCTAACAAATAAACATTATTTCCAACTTGTAACGTCAACTAACTAAAGCATAATTGTGTTCCTCTAATGCTCGCGAGTCTCTCAGTTTACCGAGAAGTCTTCGATTACGTTCAGCATGGACTTCTCTACGCTGACGTTCAAACTGCAACTGAATTTGCATCAGTTGTAGCAATTGATTTGCACATTCAGCATCTAAGCCATCTTCATCCCCGGCGTCATCTTCTGTGTCGTTTTCTTTCCTTTGCCTCTGCTTAATAGCGACAGTTCCTTTGGAAAAATTTCTCCATTAGGTCTTTGTGAAAATAAGAACCATCATTTTACTACATTTTATACGAACTTATTTTATCACCGGAAAAGTTACTAGCTCGCATGCACGCTTCGACATATCGATCAAGCATAGCCGTTGGCGACAATCTAAATTCTGTATTTTGCTGATCGCGTTTCTGTACATTCATCTGATTTTTCTGATCCAGAATTCCTAGTAACAAGTATTCATACGGAAGCAATTCAAATGTCTGGGTTCCAGTCTCCTCCATACTTTTTGTCCCTACTGAGTTTGGTTCATCCATTTTATTATTATTGATTTGTTTCTTGACTTCTATATTTGGACAAGACGTACTTCTTCGAACCTAGCGAAATAAATTTTATTAAATATAAGTTTTACGTAAAAAAAGTTACTGAAAATATTTTACCTTGCAAACGGAACTAGATCCCAAGTGTTGAGCTGGAATTTTACGTCGAGAATACAAGCGTAATTGATAAATCCTTTCCGTCAAGTTAGCTACTAAGGTGTTCGGAATTTTCTCGTTATGATGCTGCTGTCGATCAGTATATTTTGAAGATTCCAGCTTTCCTGCATTTCGCGAGGTTACAATTTCTAAAACCTGCACAATGTACGCAGTTATAACTACAGTCATTGATATGCAATAGTCTTACATATAAATGTACAAAACACAAGACCTCTTGATCTTCTTGCCACGAATCGGTTTTCCCATTCTGATTTGTATCAATTTCTGCGAATCTTGCATCTTCTTCAACGTTAGCAGATGGTTTTTGTTCTTTAACAGTCTGTCTGTCCGCGATGATTTTACTTATCTTGTGCGTAATAAACCCATGCGCATTATTACCGTCTCCAGTTCCAATCATAGAACTAGTTGGTGTCGATGGTCGAGAACTTAGTCCCACTGTACCATTGCCGAACGTGGTTAAAGCACGGACTGCAGCAGATCCCACGGGTACTTGCCTAGTTGATACTTTCCGTATATCCTGCGAAACGTTAAAAATATAATTTTGTATAACTCTGAACTGTTTGTTGATAACTTTCAAACGTACCTTGACAGGAGTTGTTTCTGGTGTAGCTTCAACTGCAGCTTCTGGTGGAGATGTACCGCTTCTATTATTATTAGGCGTTGAAGGAGCTGATCGCTGTTCATGAGATGTAGCTGGAAATGGGGGGCTTTGAGGTGGTACAGTCATACTTGGAGACCAAAAAGTTTCATCTTCACCATTGGCAATTTCTGATGATGCTAGTCCTCCGCTTGTGTTTATTGGAGTACATATAGAAGAGTGATCTAGGAAACATTCATCATAATTACACTTATGGTTACCCTTTTTTTTTATATATATAGGAATAGCATACCTGGAGGTGGCGTAGAACGTGAATTTACAGTGTTGAATACTTCTTCTCGGCATTTGTCCAATGTGAACCGACCACATTCTGCCATAACATCATGATGCTCCATTTTTTTCCATCTAGTAATGTAAAGCAATTGAGAAAATAGTGAACATGACATTTTATATATGTAATATTAACTAATATTAATTTGTGTATTGTAAATCATACCTTGCAGCAGAAATCTCTGCATCTTTGGATGCAGTTACAAGTAATGGATGCATACGCACTGAATCCAGCATTGGTCTAATTGTATGAGTAAAAGTAGCTAACTGATCTCGTTGAAGATATTGTTGTTTCAAATATGAAATGAAATTGCATGGATACATAGCATACAGTCTGTGGAACAAACTATATAGGCCCACCTGCAATAAGATAAAAATATTAACGACTTGTTTAAATGTTCACTTAAACAATGAGACTCACCTGTAGATGTAACAAATATAAATGATTTTTATCAATATTTCCTGCTGCTGCCGAGGTAAAATGCATAGGAGAAGAGAACAAAGACAATGATTGATGATGATAATAAGATGCCAGTCGACCGAATACTTCGAAAATTTCTGGAAGGTAAGGCCCTAAAGCAGCAGGTAACATTGGTAACAACATTACCAATAGGAGTAGAGCACTCATAAGAGATAATGTATCTGCTTCCATCTAAAATGGAAGTAATTAACATATTGTATATATTTGATAATTTTATCTGTAGTATTTATTCCAATAAAGATATGACTTACTTTAAGTAACTTAAGCAAATCTCGAAATAAAGCATGACTGGCAAGTTTATATAGCCATGTAGGTTGTCGACGGGCAATGTGACCTAGCAAAGTAAGAGTCTGAATTCTTTGGCTGCTACTTCCTGGTTTAGAAAGAGCTTCTGATAAACGATCCAAAAGATGCTTGTCATGTGGATCTCTGACACTGGCTAACACCTCAACAGCCCTTAAGGAATTTGTAGACAAATAATAATCAAAAAGTCCATTTACCAACCAATTGTCTTTCGCTAAAAAATACATATTATTCGTTAAGAAAACTCAAAACTGCCATTCAACATTTCAAACCAATAATCTCACTTACTATTCAGAAAAAGTTCATGGAATATTTTTTTGATTTTTTCCACCTCCCCAAGTTTGTTAGATTCCAATAAATTAAAAAGATCGGCAATGCTTATCGAATTGATGTTCATCTTGATAATGACGAGTGTTCCAGCATAGACAAACGATACTTAGCCTGATCATCCGATCATAAAATGGAAGTAGAAGTGAATTTGTGAAGCTTAGTTTCATCCATTTGTCATTTGTTGCGCCTTGCAGACTTCATAAGAAGCACAGCGATCCTTGGAACACCTGTAATATTGTGACAGGAAACTGAGAGAAAGTAATTTACAAAATTTAAAAGAAATACGTTCTTTTTTCCTTTTTTTTCCTAAATTTCATACTCCAAGAACTGTCAATTCGTATGGATCAACCAATGAATTTTGCAATTACGAATCTACATGAAGCGAGATTAAACGGTACGGCTTTCAGGTTACAGAAACGGAAATTTCATGTAAAATATTGCCAAATTGACACTGGATATATCATTCTAAATGTATAAAAAAAATTGTCGGTACGGCTCTGTAGTATTCATAAAAAGGTCATTCGGTACGATATCCACGGAAGACTTCTGATGAATATGACTTCGATTTTTAAGTAGAACATCAAAAGCTAAATTTGACTAAGAATACATCAGTTGAAATTAACAAATTAACTTACCCGAAGTTCATCGAGTACTTCGACGAATCTTCGCAAGTTCTATGGCGATTGGTATACCATCGTAGATATACCCTAGACTGGTGCGCATTGATGTCGTTACAGTAAGAACAGCGCCACGATCGCGCAACGATTTTATTAGCTTTCCTAAAACTACTAAAACTGATGCCGGCATTTTCTATTTTCTATGAATAGGTAACTTGGAAAGTATGAAATTTCATTTAGCAAAAATGAATGTTATTCAAGAAAAATACGTACGCATAAAAAAATCGTTACCCATTCACATATACCATCTTCTTGTAGTCTTCTTCCGTCTTTGAATTAATTTATTAATATATTATCTCTTTCATAGAAACCAGATAATTTGCAACATATTTGTTATTGAATGTTATTACAAATAATAAAAAATAGATTCGTGACAAAATTAATAATTTATTGATACATGGTATAATCTGCGTATATTTATTTCTTATTTGATACGAGGTATAATAACTAATGCGTATAAAACTATATTATATGCGCACAGAAATACAATGAACACCCAGTACGTAACGGTGTATGTGTTCGTACTTATAGTTAATAAATGCAGCAAGTGACAGTTGGTTGTACACTGTTCTAGAGTCATGGTTATCAAAGTTGTCAGTTTATTTGTTTAAATTGTTTTCTTACAATTGCTTGATCGATTTCGTGCCGGAATTTAATTCCTGTTATAGAATGTACATATACTATGAACTATGTAAAATTTAATAAAAGTACAGCATATCTATAATTACTTGTTCGTGATTGGATTGTCATATTTATTGGAATACTATGTCTGTTATCTAACGTTATCTTTAAGACAAAGTGGATAATCTGTCATTTCATAAGGAAAAGAGGTACTATCCTATATTTGTACTTTTACGCTTCATATATGTATAGTTTGTTACTACTATGCCTTGAATCATCACAGTGCTATTATCAATGTTTGCTCTTCCTGTGAAGTAATTACAATGAATAGGTTTAATAATCATGACATACCCATGAGGCCAAGAACTCTAATGTTTCTTTCTGAGTATTTATAATAGTGCAGGGTATTAAATATGATTAATATACTTGTAGGTTGACTATAATATTCTTTTGACAATAAATTAAAATGCCAAGTTCACATTTATATGCAATAAACAATGAGGGACGAGTATTTGGATTGTCAACATCTGGGAACATGTGGAGGGAGTTCATGTACCTAGGCCTTGAGTTTAAACAGCTGTCAGCAGTTCCACATTTCATGTGGGCTATAGGAGGTGATCGTCAAGTTTACGTACACGTACATGGTTTGGATGTACCCATACGAATCAAAGAAGAAATATATGAAAATGAAGTATGTTGATTAGACTTCTATAATATTAGTTATTGTAATTTAACATATTAACAATGAATAATCTTTATAGCGTTGGCTTCCTTTAGAAGGATTCAGTGGAAGATTACTACCTACTGATAGATACAATTTTTCTAATCAAGATGGTACAGTTGATCGTAGTCGAGACAAAGTAAAATTACCATCGATGGCTTGGCAATGGGAAGGTGACTGGCAAATAGAAACTACATTGGATGGACAACCACTAGATCATGATGTAAATATGATTGATTATGTACATAATCATACATTTTCCTAAATGGTTTACTTTCATTTTGTTTCACTTAAATTATGCATACCATTACTTTATGTTAGAATCAGTATATACTCTATTCATTATCATTTTATAAAGGATAACTGGCTTATCATTTTTAACATTATTGTTACAAATTATATTTAGGATATACAAATAAATTTTCTTTTGTTTGTTACACTATTATTAGAATTTTATAATTTTCTCTTTGTTGTTATGTTTCTTATAACTTTTTGTTTATATGTAGATTTGTTGTCAGTTGTCAACATCGACACAAAGAGTTATGATCACAGAGAATCTGATATTTTGGTAGGGATGGACATATGCAGTTGATTTCCCAGCTACATATACTACAAAAAAACAATGGATGTCGTGCGTTCGGCGAAGGAAATGGGTTCGTTATCGAAGATACAGTGCCATGAATTCGTGGTGTGCTATTGCACCTCTACATAAAGATGCAACTGAGGTAGAACTGTTTCCTTTCCTTTTTTTTATAAGAATTTCTAGCACTTTTAGGATGCTGTGGTACATAAACAATACAATATTTCAGGAACCATTTATTGACATATCTGTGGGTGGAAATCAAATACCTGGAGGTAATCCTGGATGCCTAGTAGTCTGGGCAGTAACTGCTCATGGGAGGGTATAACTTTTAAAAAAATTATTTTGAAGCCATTTAATAAACCATAAGCTATATACAGTAATTGTTAAAAATAGTGTATGCAGTTTTGTTTATTGCAGTAGCTGCATCATACTTAAATTTATTAGAAATTTTTATTTACAAAATACTAAACTGGTGATTATAATGCACAGGTAATGTTCCGTGTTGGCACCAGTACTACTTGTCCTGAAGGACAGAGGTGGAGTGCAATAAAATTAGCAAATGGTTTTGAAGTATGTCAAATCAGTGTTGGAATGACTGGTCTTGTCTGGGCTGTTCTAATGGTTGGCAAAGCATTAGTACGTACAGGTGTTACTAGAGAAAATCCAATGGGTATGTAATTCTTCTATAGTTTTACAAGTGGTGTACATATTCATAAATTTCATTAACAAGTATAATTTTATTTTATAGGGGAAGATTGGTCAGAAATTGAACCTCCACAAAAAGATTTAAAATTAGTACAAGTTAGTGTAGGTACAGATTCTGTTTGGGCAGTAACACAAGATGGGGGAGTGTGGTTTAGAAAAGGCATTAAAGGCGAAATGAGCGGAGTTTGCGAACAGATGGCTACTGGTACAGGTTGGGTGGAAATGTTAAGTAAAATGTCATTAGTGTCAGTTGCACCAAATGATCAGGTAATTTAGGTTATTATATAACATAGTAAATAATTAATTTTGGGAAAAATATTTATATTTGTTTATTTAATTTTTATTAGGTTTGGGCTATTGGTCAGGAAGATAGGTCCTTACATTATCGTACTGGTATCACACGATCAGAATTAACGGGTAAAAAATGGAGATTAATAAACGCACCTTTGCAGCTTAGTAGAGCAAGCAGTAACGCCAGTTTATCATCAAATAATAGGCATAGTATGTGTGGTACTCCTCAGCAACAAAGACATCAAAGTTGGGGATCACTGGTATTTATCTAAAAAACAAAAATATTATTACATATTTATTAAGTTTACAAGTGTAACATATTAGTATACAGTAGCTTTTTAGATTGACACTGCTAAAGAAATAACAAAGTTATTAGCAGAATTATAAATTTTAATTATAGGAAGAAATTATTAGCTTTAACTGTTAAGTATTATTAATTATCGTTCAGTAATAGTGTCAAAATACTCATTTGTAGAATCGTCCGCATAGTACTAGTGAAGGTACAACACTTATCAGGGAATGGGAAGAACAATCACGATCAGCTCCAACGCCAACGTCCTTAAAATTATGGCAACGTTCAAATGATAGTGCTGTTAAGAAACCTCAACAAATATCTTTCCAGGATATATATTTACATGAGGGAAAGAAAAAGTGAGAATATGCTTTAATAATTCTAATTATATTTATAATTTTAAATACATACTTTACGCGTATGTGTAATACAGATCTACACATTCATTGGATATGGGTGATCTTACTGAAGCTAGTGTCGCAAATATAACTATATCAAATGAGTCACTCACCAAAACTGGAGAATCCATAGTAGTTTCTGGGAAAGGCATGAGCAGTACTGTTAAGGTTAGTAAAAATAAATTATCTACATATAATTTTGACAATGAAATAAAAATTTAAAATTGGAATAATACAGATTAATCCAGCTGCTTGGAGCCCAGTTCATTCAGTTGGCTCCATGGTAGGCGTGGAAGCTCATCCAGAAACAGATGGTAGTATATTTGATCCCGACTTAACGAGCGATTCTGGTGTTTATGGAGAAGATGAAAGTTCCGGTGCAATGTATTGGGCTGAATGCGATGCCTTCTGGTATAAAGTAGAGGCTGGAGCATGTTTCGTAGATCCATCCAATCCTCCAAAATGGTATACTTAATATTCAAAATAATTAAAATTTTTTGCAAAAAAATGTACATAAATATTCTATAATAAAACATTTTAATTTACAGGATTGCAGACTCTAATGGTACAGGTCAAGGGGACATAGCAGAACCATGGAGAATACATATTTTGGAGGAATTAAAAAAGAGATTACAAAAAATATCGTTTGACTCGGCAATATATGAAAAAGTTGTTGAAAAGTAAGATTTTAAGGAATTTCCACAATGAACATTTTAATTTCTTTTTTCTTCACTTTTAATGGTATGTTGCAGATCATCTTGGGTAAAAAATGGTGATGCAAAGTGTAAAGTGAAGGGTAGTACTTCGTATAAAGAGTGCGTTATAGAATTAGAGTGGATTAGCAGTGACAGTGGCTCTTTAGATTCTGGAACTGTAACTGTTTTAAACTCGGATGGAGTAACAACAATTGTAGGTTCTTTAAATGATAAATACAATGAATAATTTTTCCTGTTGTTTTTAATAAATATGTTTGTAGGTTCAATTTCCTGTATCCGAGATTATGTGCGTAGTGTGTTGTAGTGAACCGGGTAGTCCAAGAATAGCAATTCACACTCCTAGATTAGCAAGTTCTAAAGTTCTTAGACTGCAGTTTTTTAGCGACACTGATATGGAAGATTGGTTAGGACATTTAACTTCAGGTATTTTAATTGTAAGATTAAATTGTATATAAGATAATATCATATTTAGACCTTAAAATACTTCTGCGTTTTTAGTTTCTTGCCAAATGAATAATGTTTATGGAAAACCAGGATCCAATTCGATTTGGACTACAACAGCATTAGGAGACGTCTATGTATACGATCCAGCTTCTGCAGAGGTAAGTTAATAGACATACGAGTATTATGTTATAACAAAATATTTTTAATACAATTTTTCTACATTTGAATTGGTTTTCAGGAAAATCAGCTTATCAATGATGCTTACGTACAAGAGTTGGATGTTGCAGGAAAAGAATTACCATTTGAATGTATATTGCAGAACGGTTTTGGCTTTGGTAGTTCTTTAAAAATTACAGTTTGCGTTCACGATGACGCTGACAGGTAAGTAAATATTTAAAACCGAATGATTTTAAATTAAATTGATCGATATCACTCAGTAATTTATTTGTCAGATTAACATTCAATCTTGTTTGCTATACAACAACACTTTTCAAACAAAAGACCGTCGTGGATACCCACGATATAGCACTTCATCTTAATCCACGACTTAAAGAGAATATAATTGTCCGCAATACATATCAGAATGGACAATGGGGTGACGAAGAAAGGAACGGAAGTAGCCCGTTAAAAGCTGGTTCTGATTTCATGTTGGAAATCGTTTGCGAGATGCGGGGGTACAGAATTCTTATTGATAACAAAGAATTTACTTTTTATAGCCACAGAATATTACCACAGAGTATTACTCATTTAAGAATTAAGGGACTAATGACATTGTGCAGCGTACTTTATAAATCTCCATATGTATGTATTCGCTTTAGTATTGATTATTAATTAATTGTAATAAAAATTATATAAGTCAGAAGTAATTCTAATAGGAATTTTATTATCATTAATTATAGGTGATTATTGATCCAATAGCACTGTTTTGGAGACAGATAGGTGGCCATTTAAAAAAGGTTGAAACTTGTTCTGTTGGTGTAACGTGGGGAATGGGATATGACTGTACTGCGTGGGTTTATACCGGTGGCTGGGGGGGTTTATTTTTGAAAGGTAATGACTTATAAAGCTATAAAGAAAACAAACTGTATATGTAAACATAAATTCATATAGTAATATTATATATTGGTATTTTTAGGACTAGATAGCAACACAGGAATAAATTCCATGTTAGATACTCATAACTATTATGTTTACGAAAACCAACGCTGGAATCCGGTGACTGGTTACACTTCCCATGGACTTCCAACAGATCGCTATATGTGGAGCGATGCAACTGGACGCCATAAACGTACTCGAGAGCACACTAAATTGTTATCGATGCATTGGCGTTGGGTAAGAAGCAGTATACAAGGTGTAAAGTTAAATGCATTACGGTCATTAAATGTTTAGTGAAAGTACTTTTCTACGAGTTAAACGATTATAAGTACTTAGATCAAAATCACAGTGTCAATGGTAAAGAAAGCTATATAATATTTCATTTAATGGCTTTCTTGCGATCTTAACAATTTCATCTTTAAAAAGTTAAGTTTTACAAATTGTAAAGTATTTAACTTTATACCCTACAACTTTGTTGGTTTAACCAATTATTTAGATACATCTTGATTCAAGTAAATCATTGCTATAATTAAATAAATTTTTCTAAACAGGTGTCAGACTGGATAGTAGATTTCCATACTCCTGGTGGTGTTGATAGGGATGGCTGGCAATATGCTACTGACTTCCCGTCTCAATACCATGGTAAAAAGCACTTCACCGACTATGTCAGAAGAAGAAGATGGTTCCGAAGGTGTCAATTAACGACTAGTGGTCCCTGGCAAGAGTTAGGGAACACAAAATTACTTGATGTTTCCTTATATGTATGAAATTCTCTAAACAATTAATAGCACTGATAATATATATGCAAAGGAATAATTTTATATTTTGTTAGGCAACAGGGAATCCTGGTACAGACGCTCAAGTATACATTTGGGCAGTAGCTTCTAATGGCGAAGCCTTATTTAGGAGAGGTGTTTCAGAATCATGTCCAATGGTATGAATAAAACATTTGTTGAAACCGAGAATTAAAATACTTTTCAAAAGGTGTAATGGAAGTTTTTACTATTTTCTTTCAGGGAGTTTCATGGGAACATATACCGAGTGATCAGGCTTTAGTAGGTATTTCATGTGGTCCAGGTGGTCAAGTTTGGGCCGTAGGGAAAAACGGTTCTTCGTATTGGAGGTTAGGCATTAATCCTGATAAACCCACAGGTACAAATGATACAATAGTAATTATTAATTTTATACTACACCTGACCTTCGATTTACGCGAATGAAAATCGCGTAAATAGAGTCTGTTGGTACAAGGGAAAAGAGAATATTGGAAAGAAAAGTTGACATAAGTTTTAGAAATACATATTTATATTTAATAAATAGTATATTTTATTTGGTGTTATTAAATTCAGATCGCGCATAAAAATTACCATGTAAATAGTTTACCATGTAAAACAGAGACTCGCGTGAAAGAAGTCCGCATAAATGGAGGATCAGGTGTACCATCCTTTTTGTGTATTTATACGATTTGAATATTTGTAGGCGTACAGTGGCAGAACGTTGAACCACCATTGGGTGCTCACTTGAAACAGATATCTGTGGGAAAAGATGTGGTGTGGGCATTGGATACAGCTGGCAGACTGTCTGTGCGTCGTGAAGTGCAAATGAACATTTTTCCAGAAGGGACCCATTGGCAAACACTGCCTGCGATGCCAAATGATCCTATTCATATAGGTACTTAATAAATTCGCCACAGAATAGAGCAGCGTTTCCCAATCTTGTAGCACCCAGAAATTACCCTAGAAAGTTCCTTAAATCTAGTAGGCTACTAATTATTTTCGAGTATCCTGCTAACAGTATTAGCTACCGAATTAAACTGCGCTAGTGTCTGCGTGTAGTGTAAATGAATTGAATTTATCTACTTAATTTGTTTGAAAAAATTCCAGACAAATGTAAGATGCGATCCCCAAAGGCTGTATTATATGGAAAACGCCGCGGATTATCCCATAAAATACGATCTGCGTTGGGAAACGCTGATATAAACGACACATCTGATTATTTAGATACATTCTCTGACCCCTATGACATAGGTATATCTTGGGAGCGTATGATTAGGATTTAAGCACTTATGTGTTCTTTTTTTACAAATTTTCCACTGAAAATTAGTAGTTTTTGTGTATTTATCTTTTTGATGCAAACATTTGTGCATGTTTCCTGAATGGCTATACACAGGTTGGGCTAAGAAAAATTGGTCATTTGAATATTTTGTGATTTACCCTTTATACTCTACAATTATTTGTCGAGCAATTACAGACAACTGCCGTATTCACAGAGTTAACTCAAAGCTCGGGAACACTTATAACTTATTATGCATGCTCCACTCACTTTGTAATCAATTATACGTGATAATTTGTAACTCATTTTTTTCCTTATTTTAGATATGTCTGTTATAAATGCAAAACAAGGTTTTCGACATGTAGCCGTTTCTAGAGATCAAGGTCAAGTATGGGCGATATCCGGTGCTGGTATACTGTGCCGCAGAATTGGAATCACCGATGAGAATCCTGCTGGGACTGGCTGGGCGACTGGGATAGGGGTGAGTTGTTTAAGTTACAAGTAAATAATATGTTGAAGGGTATTTAAAATGATGGTTACTTTTAACAGGCAAATTGGCAATACATAAGTGTGGGAGGACTTGTAAATAAAAGAAATTAAATGAGTCGTTTTTAGATTAATGATGATTCCTGTAATACGACACACGAAATATTATTATTATGTAGCAGCAGTGTGATAGTCTAGCTTTCTATTCTCATAGGAAAATTTTTCATTGAGAAATCAATGCATGTGCGTATGAGATAAATGTTTTCTGTAATGTGTATGGGCTTAGCTTCGCAATTCACTAAATTTTACAGTGCAAGCTTGAATCTTGGACACCTCCGTGAAATGAAAACATTATCTAAAACGTACAAGCAATTCTTGTGTCAATTGTATGTATATAATTGTGTTTCCGTTTGATGTCATTTCTTTTTAATTCATTTTTATTGGTTCGTTGACAAAAAGTACACACAGAAATGGATACAGGTGAAAAATAAAATAATAGAACTGTTAAGGTAGAGTTTAGAAAAATTTGTCATCTATAGTCTTATCACAAAATTTTATACTTACTGCAATCATTCAGACATTCCAAATGTATGCATTTGCATCAATGATTCACGATAATCTAAAGATAGAAAATAGTGAAAGATGTTAATTTTATTTTTTCATAATCATATATAATAACTGATAGGCTGGTAACTTGATTCTATCAGATGCCTTGTCTAGGTATAGATTATTTTCATTATTTCCGTATAAAAATGATCATAAATTTTTATGATGAATATGAGACTGTTAGCGCAAGTAATTATGATTAATTGTCATAAATATTATTATTTCGATACTTTCCATTTAATACGAGTATCATGTGGCGTCAAAAGATTTTACTGAAATTTAATTAAAAAGTTTACGAAAAAAATTTTAATTGTAGAAACAGCTTAAAATCTGAGCAATGAAAAACGAATATTTATACTTAAATGTTTGAACAAAATTGATAGATTATTG